CGGTCGGGAGCGGGCTGCTGCAGTCCCTGCCCGGCGCCGGGGGAGTGCTGGGCTGGGAGGGGGGGGTTCCTTTCGTTTTGTTCTATTGCAGTCGTTTCTTGGCTCATCTTCTGATGGCACCTGGTCCAAGGAGTCAGGAAGAGTAGTACCGCTGCATGCAGAGGAACGATGTGTCAGAAACACTTTTTTTTTTTTCTCTCTATCTCACATCGTGTGTTATGCCTTACACTTAACGGCGTATGCTTTGTTTTACAGAGAAAGTCAGTGAAATTTTATTGGTGATATTTCTGTTTTTTCATGTTTGTAGGTTCAAGTTTCCTGCAAAGCCATAACCCCCTCCCCACCTGGGGCTCTTTGAGAAGTCAGAAAGCCTTATAGATACAGGGGATCCAACCAGTGTAGTTAGCTTGGGTTGCCAAAAGTCTGTCAAGTAAATGAAGCAGCTGGAACACAACAGGAAAGGGTTCTTTTCTTGCACAGGCAAGTAACTATAATAGGAAACCGAGGGTAGCGGTAGATGGTTTCCTCCTCCAGTGGTGTTTCACAGGGATCTGTCCCGGGCAGTTCAAGCTAGTTGACTGGGTGAAGGAGTGAGCACTGAAGTGAAGCTGCTTGGTGGTGATATTAAGCTGTGGAAAAATACTAAGACAAGGGTCAGCTATGAAAAAAATTGAGAAAGACCTTATAGGGCTGCCTAGGCAATAACATGGCAAATGAAATGGCAGAGAGGGATGTACCTAACAGAAGGAACCAACTTTCCATGTAGAAGATGGGCTGTGAGCTCACGGTTATTGCCTGGGAGGTAGATCTTGGTGTTAGGACAAAATGAAGTCTTCAGGGGACTGGACTGTACCACTTCTCATAGGGCCTCTTCATTCTGACAGTGGCTGAAAACAAATGCTGAGGGAAGAGGGAGGAAATTTAGAGCAAACACATAGAGATGCTTTCCACTGCTGTTGTACCAGCCTCCAAGAATTTGCAATTCAAGGTCTTCCCTGATGAGAAGTTTAACTTGTGGTAGGTTTTTGGTGGCTTATTAGCTAAGGCATAGGAGTAGGATGTGTCATGTGATCCATTTGAGTGGGGAGTTAGATTTTGACATATATGTTGTCATAATCTTCATAAAGGCAAGAAAATATCAGAAAGGATAGGAAGAAAGTAGAGCAATCCTAACTGTTGCAGGGCCAATCTACAGTCCTTGGCTAAAGAAATCAAGAAAATTCTTGAAATGTGAGCTGTTTCCTTACAGTTACTCATTCACAAATGTACTTCGATGCAATCATGCTGCTATTCATGGTTGTGACCGGAGGATTTTATGGGATGAGAATGGTAACTTTCACAGATTAAGTGATCTCTTGCTGTAGAAGCGTTTCTGATAAATGCTTTGACACACCTGTATATATTCTGTAGTAGTAGGTTTAATATATTAATGACAGAACTTAGTGGGATTATAGAAATGTATGATTACAAACAATTTCTGTTTTTTTAAAAAAAGTCTCTTCTTTCATTAAAAGGTATTCTTTTAAGGCTAGTAATAAAAGTGCAGGCATTTTTGTGCCTTACCGTATCATAACATTCATGGTTTGTAAGAGATGGTTTTAAAGCTTGAGCATGTGTTCAGGTATTTGGTGAACCAAAAAGGGCAAGTTCTAGCATTTCTTATGTGGGAAACGCATAATAGTAGAAAGTTTGTGGCTTGGTTTTCAATATCAGGTTAAGGAGTCTTTGGTACTGGAGGAACTGATGCTTTGTGGCCTGTAAATGTATTGAGATTGCGCCCCAGTTTCTTGATGTACTAATATCTCAGTTCACTTAAAACAGCCAAGTTGAGAGTTCGTTGTTTTAGTAAAGGCCACTGTTTGCTTGGCACCATATCTGCAACTTCTTTTTATGCAGAGAGATGTCTGAGAAAATGGGCTTTATGTTAATGATTGAACAGAAACACAGCAAATAATTACTGTGTGGGCAATTACTGGTTTGTGCCTTTGCTCTGTTCCTGCAGTACTGAGGTGCTGCTGCGTTGATGTGCGCTTCATGCAAATTGTGAAGTGCAAAACTGAAGGAGGATGCCTGTGGAGTAAAATAAGTCTCAAATTAAATGTACATTTTTCTGAAAAATATTTATGTAAACAAAAACTATTTTAAAGAGGTATTTTGTTTCAAGCAAATGTTTGTGTTGATAGATAGGATTGAAAAATTCAACAGTTGTTGTCATCTTTGTTTGTTTGTTTGTTTGTTTTGTTTTTCCCTCCAGTGGAGGTGTGAGTTAACCTTATTTAATATTATGGAATTATGTTTTTCTGTGTTTATAGGAAGGGACTGTCCAGAGGTTCCACAAATCAATGTGTTTCCAAAAAAAGTGGAGAGTCTCTTCCAGCAGTTTTTGAGAGAAATGTGCAGGAAGCCATTGACAATTATACTCGGTATGTATTCACTTCTGAAATACTACTTCATTAACGGACTCTTGGCTTAAGTAGGTATTTCAAGATTGTTACTAGTTTTCACTGGTCATGCTTCTAGTTATTATCATGGATGATAACTATTGCAGGATATAATGCAGGATATAAATTGACCTAATAAGAGGGTTTGAACTTTACTCCTGGTTTGTTTTATGGATTTGCGTATTTTCAGAGCATAGTGAAGGGCACCGATTAAGCCTGGAAGGGAAGTCAGACTTCATAGTTAGATGGAAGTAATGCTCACCAGCGTTGCAGGTCAGTTAACTTTCAAGCAGTTTCGTTCCAAGTGGCACTGGTTAGGATTTGCCTGGCCTGTATCTGACTGCCCTTGCTTTCACTGAATCCCAGGGTGGGTAGTAGCTGGCAGGGACCAGCTAGAGCTTTCTGAAAGCTGGAATCCCAGAGCTCAAGGTTTAAAGTGCACCAGGTCGAACAGCGCAGAAGACACTGTGTACAGATATGTAACTCAATGCTGTTTGAAACGTTCATAGAGATGTTATGCTTAGTTTTGCGTAATTTTCTTGTGATAGCTTCTAATAGAGTTAGCATGAACCTCATGAGGTTGAAAAAGGCCAAGTGCAGGGTCTAGATCTTGGGTCAGGGCAACCCCTGCTATCAATACAGGCTGGGGGATGAAGGGATTGAGAGCAGCCCTGCTGAGAAGGACTTGGAGGTACTGGTGAATGAAAAGCTGGACATGAACTGGCAATGTGTGCTCACAGCCCAGAAGGCCAGCCGTATCCAAAGCAGTGTGGCCAGCAGGACGAGGGAGGTGATACTGCCCTCCTACTCTGCTCTGGTAAGACCCCACCTGGAGTCCAGCATCCAGCTCTGGAGCCCTCAGCAGAGGAAAGACATGGACCTGTTGGAGAGGGTCCAGAGGATGGCTACAGAAATGATCAGAGGGATGGGACACCTTTTCTGTAAAGAAAGGCTGAGAGAGTTGGGCATGTTCAGCCTGGAGAAGAGAAGGCTCCAGGGAGACCTTATTGCAGCCTTCCAGTACTTCAAGGGGGCTTATAAGAAAGATGGGGACAGACTTTTTAGCAGGGTCTGTAGTGATAGGACAAGGGGTAATGGTTTTCAACTAAGAGGGGGTAGATTTAGACTAGATATAAGGCAGAAATTTTTTACTGTGAGGATGGTGAAACCCTGGCACAGGTTGCCCAGAGAGGTGGTAGATGCCCCATCCCTGGCAATGTTCCAGGTCAGGTTGGACAAGGCCTCTGAGCAACCTGGTGTAGTTGAAGATGTCCCTGCTCACTGCATGCAGGGGGGTTGGACTGGATGACCATTAAAGGTCCATTCATACCCAAACTATTCTATGATTCTAAAGAAGGCTTATGTTATCTTTAATCTATAGTTTTGATGTGCCCATTAGCTGAACTGGAGAAAACAAAATAATTGTTGAAGGTGGAAATACTTGGTATGTGTGTTTGTATACGTGTGGATATATTCTAGGGTGCCCTTACCGTTGCAATGATATAAGTACATAAAAAAGCGTAATGCTATAGAAGGAGTTGCCTTTAAGGCAGTAAATGGTACAAATAGGAGCATGTATTCATTGCAGTCTCCTTAAAAGCATACAGTTTTAACTCTTCACGTTGACTCTAAAAACACGTTTTGAAAATCTTGAATCCAACAGGAATATGTATCAGTGTCCAGTTATGTGATCAATTGCGTTATTTTTGAAATGTTTATACAGAAAGCCGTTGTGGTGTTCATTTGAATTTGTTGTCTTTTCACAGTGAAACTCTTTCACGACTTTCGTCTGGTGGTTGTACAACACCCACGGAATTGAATAATTCTTGGTCTGGAATAAACAGCTATACTACTAGTTTGTCTACTGAAAGAAGTTCAGTTTACTCCTGGAGGGATGATGTATGTCACAGAAACTTTTACAGTATGCTTTATCTAAATATTGTAGTATAGATTAATTTTTACAGAAAGTGGACATGCAGCACGTCTTGTAGAAGTTAACCACTTTCAGTCATCATAGCCTAATGATTAAGTGTATTAATTGACTATTTAAAAAATAGTTCTGTTTGCAAGTTGATACTAGTGCAGCTGATTTGTAACAAGGAGAAACGGAATAAAAATATGAAAGGATGAAATTTGGGGAAAACAAACCTGTTCTACCAGAAAAGGTAAGCTTAGGTTTCTGAGTCCGAGAGTGATAAAATATGTTTTCTAATACTGCATAATGCAGGCAGTATCTGAATTGAGCTTTTCTCAATGTTTAGAGTCATAAAGTATATTCATGAGCATGCATGTAAATGTCCCAGTCTGAGTAAATATTTAGCTCTTACCTAAGCTCAGTTCTGTTTCGTGGATGATGGAGAGGGAGGTTAAACCCATTACGGAGGCTGACTTCTGAGGCATACCTGGTGCAGGCTGGCAGCATGGAATAAATCCAAAAGCATTGCGGTCACTGCTACTTCCATTTTAAAAAGCCATCCATGGCTGGTAGTGGTAGGTCTGTCGTACCTTTTGCATAATATCCTAATCTTCTGGGTAGTGACCCCATCTGTCACTTCCAGCCCTCCAGGAGAGAGCCTGACCCTGGATCAGAACCTGGGTGAGAGTTACTTTCTCATTCCTTTTTGGTGTGATCCCTTCTGAAATGGTTGGGCACTTGGTTGGAAGTGAACAGATACGATTTGGGCCCTGAATATTACAACTTTTTTCTGTGTTTCAAAGTGTCTAATAGTGGCCAAATATCATTATGACCAGTGCCCAGCCGAGGAATCCTCAGCCAAGTGCTCATTTCCACATCACTGGATAAAGTCAGGCTCTTTGCCCCTGCACTCGCCCATTTCTGGTGGCACTGGGTTGTAGCTTCAGTACCCCTTCAGTACGCCTTCCTCACCTTCAGCTGAGGAAGGCGGTTTCTCACCCTGCGGGTTGTTTCCTAACCACCAGACTATGTTGTGCAGAAGGAAGGAGTCCCCTTTTGGCCCTCTTAGCTGTTTTACTCAGAAGTGCTGCTCAGAAGAGCAGGGAGCTTTGGTACAGTGAGTCGCAGAGGTGCAATGTGGATGCTTCACTCCATATCGGAGCAGGGAGGGAGCCAGGAGTCAAGACACCTTACAACTGATGTTTTCTGTCCGCTAATCCTAGGCAGCTAGTTCCTTTTTGCTAAATCACCTTGCTCAGGCCGGCTACCTGTTCTTTTTTTGTTGCTGCTTTTGGGTTTTTTTTTTTTGCACTGCAGCATATGAATTGTTTCCAAAGTAGGTAGTCTGAAGATCCATTCTGAAATGTTCAGCAAATTGGTCCAAGTTGTCCTGTTCTTTAACTATGGTTGAGTTTTTAATATAAATATGTATGCATATGTGCTAACAACTATTAATTTTATAATATGTAGGACTTTGATAAAGCCAACACACAGAGAGTTCATCAGTTATTTTGGGAGATTGATGAAATGCTGTTTGAGGGAAAAGTGACCTCCCAAACTCAGAGCCTGCAAACAGAATGTGCGGACTGGGTTGAACAATTTCCTCATCTAAGGTAAGGAGATTTCTTGTTGGTACTAGTTTTAACCAGTTATCACACTAATTTGAATTTTTGAGGTACCCTCATGTGAATTGCTCTTGATGTATGGCATCAGTAATGTCTTTGCCTTCAAATCTGGATCTCTGTGACTGAGCTGTACCATAGTTATGCAAGTCTGGGTGGTGGTGCACTAGCAGCTAATGCTCTTTATTTTGCATGATACAATGATTGCAGACAAAGATACTTGAGCAGAATATACTGAGACAATAATAATGCACCATGTTCATTATGGCTTTTTCTAAATAAAGAATACATCTTGTAAAGAATTTTTTTTTTACTGTAAGTGAAAACATACTGTGAAATTCCAAGAAATTCAGTGCTCATTCTGTTACTGATTCTTCTAAACAGAACTTAAAAATTAAAGTGACCACATGCTTCACATACACTGCACAGCCATAATGTCTTCCTAGGCTATGTAAATCAATGTAAAACAGTGTGTGATATTAACCTGATAATAACTAGTTGAACAGATACGAGAATGCACACGATTCATGAGAATTGTTTTGCATAGGTGTATGAAATGTCCAGGCAGCCTGATGACTGCTTCTTATAACACAGGGGAGAGAAGTCAGTGTTGCATGGCGTTATACTGTCCTGCCTTTGTAAATGATGGCATGTTATTCTTAGTGAGTTGTCATGGCTCTAAGCTATTCTAAACATCGACTTGCATGTCTCTCCTCTAGTCAGTAGTTTAACACCATTAAAAAAAACGCTGTCAATAATTGTGGTATGCTTTTAATGCTTTTGGATAACTTGAAGAGACTTGTTACTAGTACATATAAACTGAAAATCAACTAACAAATCTTGTCACGCTTTGTTGGGAACAAGAGAGAATTGTTAAATAAAACTGAGGCAATTTTTGCTAGTGTTAAGGCATGCTTTGCCTTTTTTAGCTACTGTAAAAATTAATAGAACATGCATAAAATGGAGACAGGTTTTTGTGCTAATTCATTCAAAATATTAAGTCATTTCACTATATTTTCAGATTATTTTTACTAGGTGGAATTTTTAAGTAAGTGATTCCCGCTACTTAGGATTTTTTGATTCAAATCTAATGCTGGCAATACCAGCCAAGTCCAAGACGTTGAAAGTGATCTGAAGAAATCTGTGGGGCTCTTTGTCATATGTCACTAAGGGATGTGGTACATCTGTGGTTTAAAAAGACAAAAAAAAGTTATTTTCATTATTAAGCTTAAAACCTTATTTTGTGTTTGTGTTGACTAGTTGCTCAAAAGAATAGCTTCTGGGATGCCAGATTTATTTCTGAGAGTTGTGCTTCAAAGAGCTCACTGACTGTCCTTTTTAATTTGTAAAACAGCTATGTTGATATATGACTACTTAGCTCAGCATGTGGAAATAAATATATTTGAGAACTGTCATAAGTAAGAGAAAGCTTTTTGTTCTTGGCTTACAAAATAAAAAGTGAAAAAGGCTATTGCTTAGAGTTTCATGTGGCATGCATAAAGTTCTGTTCTGTAAAAGGTAGTCCCAGGGAAAATGTGGTCAGGTGAGTACAAGCATTGCTGCTTGCAACTACAGCTGCAACTGGCAAATTCTTTTGATGTCCCTTGAAAATGAAAAACAGTTCAGTAAGCAGTGATTATTATTCAGTTATACTGTGTTCAGAAGTTGTTTTATAGAGTAATTTTGTGTACCTTTAAATAGAGTTGCTTTTACCTTTTCTCTCTGCCTCTGTGCATTATGCATGTTGGAGTTAGTGCATTTTCTGCACATTAATTCTAGCCTTAGCTATCGATGTAAACATTTTGGATTGGGACTTCTGCTCACATTGATGGTTACTGGAGTTGGGTAAGTGAAGTCATAGCAGATGTTATTTGTCTTCTGCGTCCCTTTTTAAACATTTCTTAAAGAGTTTTGATAGGAAAGGAAGTGTGTGTACTTTATCTGACTTAAGAACTATCTAACAAGTTTGACTATTTGCTCTTTAAAAAGATAAGCTAGAATCTAATCTTGGGTAAATCAGCTTAACTTTAATGACTTAAATACTAGGCAGTGTTAATGTATTACAGAAGACCCTGGCCCCTCCATAAATTGCTTTTTTTAAAGCAAATGCAAGGCGTGCTTTCACATTGCCTACTGTTTGCAGGTATTTGTGTTCTTGATACTTGCATATGGAGTGGATTCCATCTAAGATATCACTCGTGTTCTCCTTTTTATTCAGGGTTCTAGGAAAGCAGCTCCTATTGCCAAAGGATGAAGGCTTTCAGCATTTTCAGAGCAGAAGTGATACCTGTGTGGATATTAAGTGTTTGCCTGGCCTCCATGAATGTGCTAGTAATAGAAAAGAGTATGTAATTTTTTTTTAAGTTTTCTCTTTAGTCTTCCCTCTTCAGAAATATGTACAATATTACTTTTGTATTATGGAAATAATTCAGTATAATAAAATATGCACTTTCTTCTTTCGTTGAATATTTAATTCTCATTTTGTCAACTTTTTTTTCCAGGCTCTGCGTTTCAGGCTCTAAACTGATCCCAACAGCATCTCCAATACATAAATTACTAGATTCAAGTTCTGCTAGGATTTCTGCCTCAGACTCTTCACTGTATTCATTCCTGGAAGAAGAAATTTATGATGTGGATGGAAAAATAGAAGAATATCTTGCCTTTGACGACAAGGAGCCGTAAATAACAGATATATGTATTTTTGAAGAGTATAATGAAAAATTGTCAGTGAACCCAATCAGGGTTCATAATCTTATGTTTCTCTTCTGTAAAATACAGTTCCTTCTGTCGCTGTGTTCGGTAGCACAGTGGTCAGAGCACTCACTGGGTATGTGGAAGGTTAGGTATGTTATCTTTCTAGTGGTTCAAAACTCACACCTCCCGTGTCAGAGGAATGTGTCTTAACCACTAGTTGCTTTGAAGTGTTCTGTGCATGGAGATGCAATAAAATGAATATTTAATTTTGACACAGGGAGTAGAATGAAGGAATTGCTTCTTAAGTGAGTGCCTTGACCACCAGATTGTTTAAGGTCATTACACTGCATGTGCTCTCATTCTCTGCCCTAACGAATCTTAAATTCTTGCTGTGCATTGTGGAGCAGCTTTGTGAGGAGAGGTGCGCGATACAACCCGCATTTAGAGCACTCTTGTGAGTCACAGGAGTCATGCAACTGTCTTCTTGACAGCACAACCATGAGCCAGCAGCTAGGCTATTGGGTGAATGAAAGACCATAATGTGCTGTTTTCTAAAAGGCCTCAATGAGGGGGAAATTTCGGTGGGACTATCGGGGCACAAAGTATAGCTTTCTGTTCTAAAGCTTGATGCACTTAGTGATGCACTTATAGGAAAAAGACATGGTTGGTCTGAAAAACTGAGGAACCAGACCGAGACCCTTTCAGTGCTGTTTTTGAAGGAGATGGCCTGTGTGGCTGCATTTTTTGGTAAGGGTTTGGGTTTAAGAATCCTCTTATGATTCTTCTCTCTTTGTTTTGCTAAGTAAGCAAACTGAATTTGGGAGAGAGACTTGACTGAAGATGTGTTTCTCTCCTTTTGTGCCTCTTTGAGATGTTGTTTCTTGTTTCCTTCAGTTCTAAAATACCTTGTTCTCCATAATTAAGACATTAGGCATTACAAAGCCTGATATGAGAATAGCTTGGTCATTTTGTGATGGACCATTGGACCGTTCAGCCAAGTCTCAGTTAGAGTTAAGAAGTTTGCAGTCTGGTTTGAGGAAGAAGTGAAAAAGTGACTGAGGAGAGAAAGGGAGATAGTAGAAACCAGTATGAATTTGGGATCTTCCTTATACTCTTAAAAAAAAAAAAAAAGCATTTCCTAAGAAAGGAATATAATGGCATTAAAAAAAGAAAAATGTTAAAGCTTTCTTCCTGAGAGGTGTGTTAGAAGACCAAGTTAGGAACTTGTTGCTACACTGTGCTTCCCTAGGTAGGTGGGGCAGAGGGGTGCGTAAAAAAAGTTAAAAATGTAAGTGTCCACACAGTAGTGGAAGGGAAGGAGGTTAGCATAAGGCTATGAGCGCTGCTATTCTTAGGCTGCAGAAATCCTTTAAAGTTGTTTGATCAGTTGTGGAGTGTTGCAGGTGTGTGCAGGTACACAGGATGTGATAGAAATGTTCTATGTGATAGTCATTTGAGACTAAATCCTATGCTTTCTACCATAAGGGAACTATTGTCTGTTGCATTTGGCAGGAGGACTAAGTGCCATGTATAAAGCTGTTCCTTCTAGAGCTGCAGATCTTTCTGTTGTAATGCCCCGACTGGATTTTTAAATTTTTCACCTGAAAACAAAAGAAAAAGGAATCATTATATGTATTTGATTGGTTCTGTTCCCATAGGTACTCTGTACATTTGAATTCGAATTTTTTGTGTGATATACATCTGACTGGCTTTTCTTCCATATGTATGGTTCTATTCATTCAGCGTATTAGAAGGAGGGGGGAAAAAGTCAGAACCCATGGGAATTCACTTGAATTTGCTTCCTTTATTAGTGATGATGAGAGCTGGGAACAAAAGAAAATGCGTCTTGCTGAGAAGAGGAGTGAGCGTGGCATTCCCCCTGTTTCTCCCAATGCCTGTATTAAAGATGCCGTGGCTTCTGAAGTGTTTGATCGTATCTGGAGCAATGTAGTTGGAATATTGGTGGAACTGATTAAAAAAAATTGGGAAACTAGTATCACAGGTATTTGGTATTTTTGTATATGATATTTATTGAATCTAACTTTGGAAAGTTGTATGGTGGTTTTTTTTTTTTCTTAAAGCTTGGGAAATCTGGTTATTTTAAGATAGCTGTGTTGGTAGTACACATTATGAGCATTATGAGGTATGTAATGCCTTGCCCTGCATGTGTGCGCGCGCACACACACACACTACTGCCCCTCATATATACGTTCCTACTAATTTTCAGGGAGTTTTGTATGAGGTGTAAAAAGAAAAAGGCATGGGAAAGCTTGTTTAAAAAAAAAAATCTTAATCACTGTCTCAGGATGCAAATTGATTCTGTTAGCAGGGGATCACTGATGATGTGATCTGAATCTGGAACCTAGGAATCAAAACCTCCTAGTCCTCGTTGGTTGAGCTTTATTAATAAAAAAGAACCCTTAGGTAGTCAGATGGTTAAAGCGAGATGGCCTTGCTGACAGTGCAGGAGTTCATGAGTTTAATATAGGGTGAATAAATGGTAATAATAAATGCTTGTAATCTTATTTTAATTTATTTTTTTGTGTTCTAACAGACTGTAGTGAGGAAAAGCAAAAGCTAGGAAAGTTAACTAGAAGTGAAATTTTATTTTGTGTGCGTGTGTCGTCTTTGGAGGCCGAGGGAAATGTCAGTTCTTTCAATGTATTTTAAAAGGACAGTAACAGAAGAATACATGGGGGTGCGTTTTGGACATTACCTCAATTTAAGGTGTGGTCAACCTCAAATGTGAGTCTACAACAAAGTAAGAAATGGCAAAATTTTGCAGATAACTTGTAGCATCAGAACTTAACATTTCAGGCATTGCTGAAATAGAAAAGGGTTTTTCACAGCACAAGTGGATTGTTTAGCTCAGCATTATAGTTTAGGGAGGATAGCTTAGCATTTTTATCATAGCTGTGCCCTTTTCTCTTTTTGAACGGCATAAACTTAAGACAAATACATAGCTAACCAAAGTATTTGAACTAGGAATGTAAAAGAATTTGGGTTTATAATAGAAATAAGATGGTGGTATATAGCCAAAATGAAACTGTGTAGTTGCTGTAAGACAAGGATAGGATCAGTAGACTTTCTTTTTTGTATATGTATTTTTTTTTTCTGCTTCAAAAAAAGGAAAAAATATTTGGGAATTTTTAAGTAACATTCAAAGAGTCTTAGCAGTATTTTCTTAAACAAATACGAGCCTCCAAGTCTACCTGTATAGACCGATTTGTCAATGTCAAAGAAAGCATAAACAAATGGGAAGGCTTTCAGAAAAACATCATGTATGGTAATTTTTTAAATGTCATGGAAACTTAAAACTGTATGAAAGTCTCTATTTATTGTGAAGTGCAAAATTGTTTGAATCCCAGCAAATGATGGCTGGTGAATATACAAAATACCTCTTATTCCCTTTACTTTTTTTTGCTGTTGTGCAGAGGGTGACAAACAGGTGGAAAAACTGAAAGCTGTTACAACAAAGCTGCCACATTTGCCAGTTGTTCGTATTACGGCAGATGCTGGTAGTGTTCGTCTTTCCAGAGGCACTGAAGCACGAAGTGGATCTTTTGTTTACTCACAGGTAAAAATAACTTTCTGTCAGACGGTGTTCTTTTTTGGACAGAGTCTTGGTTGAAGCTAGAAGAGGGTCTTTTTCTGTTTCTCTCTTTTTCTTGTGGTTTGTTCCCCCCCCCATTAGGTATACTTAAAATATTTAATCTCATTTAAAATGAATGTTCATTAAATGTGCATTTCTTCTTTCGTTCTTTGGTAGTTCTTAAAGGTGCTGTTTACCACTAAGATAATGCTGAGGCTGGTTTACAAAAATACTTATGAGACTGTATTCCCTCCTTAGAAAATAATTTATTAAATAATTAAATTATAATTAAAT